GAGCAAAACAGTCGGTGGGTTGCCCAGGAGGCAGCAGGGTCGCAGCAGTGTCAGTGGAGGCAAACGGCCACGGGAGTAGAGCACCAGCTCCACTGCAGCCTACCACCACGGCCAGTAGTGGTGCCGGTGTGCACGGAGGAAGTAGCAGTCAGCCAGTGAGGAGTATCGGGGGCAAAGTTTCCTACTCGGCGGTGTGGGCAATTTTTCGCCAAGCCGCCCGAGGAAGTAAACGTAGCCGTATGTCGACTATGTGGCCAGAAAGTCAAGCGTGGCCAGGGGGCCCATGTTGGGACTCATGGGTCCCTGTACGGCCTCCCATTGCTGCTGTCTCCATCGCCACACTCTGCCATGTGCCACTTTCAGGTCTCCTCACACTGCTGGTGTGTTCCATTTTTTGTCATAGGGTGCTGGCAGATTACGGGCCTCCCATTGATGCTGCCAGGCCCGTAATATGCCATGGGCCCCTGTACCGCCTCCTCATGCTGCTGCCAGGTCCACAGTCTCTCATGGGTCCCTGTACGGCCTCCCATTGCTGCTGTCTCCATCGCCACACTCTGCCATGTGCCACTTTCAGGTCTCCTCACACTGCTGGTGTGTTCCATTTTTTGTCATAGGGTGCTGGCAGATTACGGGCCTCCCATTGCTGCTGCCAGGCCCGTAATCTGCCATGGGCCCCTGTACCGCCTCTTCATGCTGCTGCCAGGTCCAGAGTGTCTCATGGGTCCCTGTACGGCCTCCCATTGCTGCTGTCTCCATCGCCACACTCTGCCATGTGCCACTTTCAGGTCTCCTCACACTGCTGGTGTGTTCCATTTTTTGTCATAGGGTGCTGGCAGATTACGGGCCTCCCATTGATGCTGCCAGGCCCGTAATCTGCCATGGGCCCCAGTACCGCCTCCTCATGCTGCTGCCAGGTCCACAGTCTCTCATGGGTCCCTGTACGGCCTCTCATTGCTGCTGTCTCCATTGCCACACTCTGCCATGTGCCACTTTCAGGTCTCCTCACACTGCTGGTGTGTTCCATTTTTTGTCATAGGGTGCTGGCAGATTACGGGCCTCCTATTGATGCTGCCAGGCCCGTAATCTGCCATGGGCCCCCGTACCGACTCCTCATGCTGTGACGTTGCAACAAGGTGGAATTCAACCCTACATATGTTAGACCGCCTTTACGAACAGCGAAAGGCCATCACAGATTTCCTGATGTTACAAGCGGATAAAGGTACTCCCTGTGTAACTTAGATGTCAGCCATTGGCAGCTCATGCGTGACACCTGCCGCTTGCTCAGGCCCTTTGAAGAGGCCACGCTATTCGTGAGTCGGCAGGACTATGGGATGAACGACGTCATTCCTCTGTTGCACGTCCTGGAACAAATGCAGTTAACAATGGCTGGTCAGGGTGCGGTAGACGTGGCGCACAGATCTCAACGCCACATGACCCCTGTGGGGGCAGGACAGGAAGAAGAGGAGGAGGTAGAGGAGGACATTGGTGCTCAGGAATTATTGAGTGAAATGGGTGGTTTTTCCACTCAGCGGACAGGAGTGGAGGAGCAGGAGCATCTGGTAGAGGAGGAGGGGAGACAGAGGACCCAGACGCACCGTGGCAGTATGCTGTGGAGATGGAGGCAGGGAGTCCCTCGCATTCCTTGGCACAAATGGCCCATAGCATGCTCGGTTGCTTGCGTAGCGACAGCCGAATAATAACCATCAGACAGAGGGACGACTTTTGGCTGTCCACCTTGTTGGACCCTCGCTACCGTTCAAAAATGGTGGCCTTTTTCACACCTGCTGAGAGGGAGGCCAAAAAATAAAGTACTATAAAAACCACCTATATAGTCAGCTGGTCTCTGCCTTTGTGCGCCAACGTCCATCCTCAGACACTGTGGGCCCTGTGCGCTCGCGTTCCGCTGCCATGGCAGCAGGGGAGGGGTGGGGTGGTAGGAGCAGTGGCAGCTCCACCAGCAGCGGCTGTCTCAGTCTGCAGTCGATGATGAGTAGCTTTCTTCACCAGCGCAGTGAGGAAACTACTAACCAGCCGCAGCAGCAGCAGCATCAGGTGGACCTGGAGCAGGACCTCAAACAACAGGCTTGGGCCTACTTGGACAGCACCCTGCCAACCAAGGTAGACAATCCCCTTGACTACTGGGCAACGAAACTTGACCTTTGGCCCCAACTAGCTGAAATTTGCCCTTGAAAGGCTGTCATGCCCGGCCAGTAGCGTGGCATCGGAGCGCGTGTTTAGTGCGGCAGGAGGTATTGTAACTCCGCGGAGGACACGACTGTCCACCCAAAGTGTGGAGAGACTCACGTTTGTGAAAATGAATCAGGCGTGGATTAGTCTGGATTTCAAACCACCAGTTCCTGACACAACTGACTAAATCCGCCATGAATCATGCCCCAAACATGTGCCACTTTCAGGTCTCCTCACACTGCTGGTGGGTTCCATTTTGTCATAGGGTGTTGGCAGATTACGGGCCTCCCATTGCTGCTGCCAGGCCCGTAATCTGCCATGGGCCCCTGTACCGCCTCCTCATGCTGCTGCCAGGTCCAGAGTGTGTCATGGGTCCCTGTACGGCCTCCCATTGCTGCTGTCTCCATCGCCACACTCTGCCATGTGCCACTTTCAGGTCTCCTCACACTGCTGGTGTGTTCCATTTTGTCATAGGGTGCTGGCAGATTACGGGCCTCCCATTGCTGCTGCCAGGCCCGTAATCTGCCATGGGCCCCTGTACCGCCTCCTAATGCTGCTGCCAGGTCCAGAGTGTGTCATAGGTCCCTGTACGGCCTCCCATTGCTGCTGTCTCCAACGCCACACTCTGCCATGTGCCACTTTCAGGTCTCCTCACACTGCTGGTGTGTTCCATTTTGTCAAAGGGTGCTGGCAGATTACGGGCCTCCCATTGCTGCTGCCAGGCCCGTAATCTGCCATGGGCCCCTGTACCGCCTCCTAATGCTGCTGCCAGGTCCAGAGTCTCTCATGGGTCCCTGTACGGCCTCCCATTGCTGCTGTCTCCATCGCCACACTCTGCCATGTGCCACTTTCAGGTCTCCTCACACTGCTGGTGGGTTCCATTTTTGTCATAGGGTGCTGTATGGCCTCCCATTGCTGCTGCCTCCACCGCCACACTGTGGCTCCACACTCTGGTTTTGGCCCCGTGACTGCCCAAATGAGTGAAGTGTGCGGTGATTCTAAGATCGACGGCACTCATCTGCATGTCATACTGACTGACAGTATTATTTCTCTTCCCCAGCAGACTCCAAGGGCATTTAAATTAAAGGTACAGTGTTCTGCACTAATATAAAGGCTCTCTGAAGCCTAGAAACACCCTTTTATAAGTTTAAATCGCAGCGAATATATTCGCATCGAATCAAATTTATTCCTCGAATTCGCCGAATCAGCCGAATCTAATTTTTGAATACTTCGCTCATCTCTAACTCTGGCCAATGAAATGAATAAACATCCAAGCATTTCACTGAGATCCCGAGAGTGACCCATTCTTTCACAAATGTTTGTATAAGCAGTCTGCATGTCTAGGTGCTTGATTTTATACACCTATGGCCATGGAGGTAAATCTAATGATTTGGAGAGGTGTCCCAATACTTTTGACAATATAGTGTGGACTTCAACCTCTTGCATTTAGGAGGAGTGGATCAGAGGTAGCTGGGTGTAAATGAACAGCAGAGTCCGTTTACTTCTGGTTGCCCATAGAGAAGAGTGTTAGCTTTGCAGATACTGAGAAGACACAGATATGTAATCCACTCGCTCTGCTCCGATTCAGCAGGGGATTAGCTCACAGATTCCCAGATTATTATTATTATACAGGATTTATATAGCGCCGACAGTTTGCTCAGTGCTTTACATTATGGAGGGAGACAGTACAGTAACAATACAGTTCAATACAAGAGGGATTAGAGGGCCCTGCTCCTTGGAGTTTACAATCTAGGAGGGAGGGAATAGTGGTACAAGAGGTAATTAACTGTGGGGGATGGAATGGTAGGAAGAGTAGGGGATTCCAGTATTAGCTGGGGTCGGGGTAGGCTTCCCTGAAGAGATGGGTTTTCAGAGTGCGCCTAAAAGAGAGCAGAGTAGGTGATAGCCTGATAGATTGGGGTAGGGAGTTCCAGAGGATGGGTGAAGCCCTTCAGAAATCCTGGAGACGAGGGAGGGCATGGGAGGAGGAGACAAGGGAGCTAGAGAGTAGGAGGTCTTGCGAGGAGCGGAGAATATGGTTTGGGTGGTATTTAGAGACAAGGTCGGTGATGTACTTAGGGGCAGTGTTATGAACGGCTTTATACATCAGTGTTATTGTTTTGAATTTTATCCGTTGGGCAATTGGAAGCCAGCAGAGGGATTGGCAGAGAGGGATGGCAGATACAGAGCGGCTAGTAAGGTGATTGCATCTGGCAGCAGCATTCATGATGGAGTGGAGTGGGGATAGCCTGCGATGAGGTAGGCCATTGAGGAGGGAGTTACAGTAGTCAAGGTGTGATCGCAACCAAATCTGCCCCATATGAAAGGGGCCTTGCACAAACAGATAAAATAAATCTCTATGTGCTGAAAAGTAAATACTTGTTTTACAGGCATACCTATTATAGTAAACAGTGCAATAGCCCAGAGTAATGCAGGCCATAGACGGGTCGTTTATCGGCAGAATTTTCGTCAGAGCGAAAAATCGGTCGATATTCACACCGTTAGTGGGGCAATGTCGTCGGACGATTCTCGCGGTTCTTCTCGTTTCTTTTTATCTGTCATGCTGGAAAATCTATGAAAAACGGCTGTTTTTCATAAGCATTGGTGGCAGCAACGACCGATTTTTCGTTTATCGGCCGACAATTCGGGCGATAAACGACCTGTCTATGGCCAGCATAACAAATTCAACTGCATCTCTTAAATATCTGAGCACCACTTACTAAAATCTAGTCGCTGTGAGTTACTACACCCGTCATCAATAAATTTGCCAATTCTTGTAATAAAACTTGAGTTTTAGTGATGACGTAACTTACTCTCGATCCCAGAGGAAGAGCCATCCTATATTCAGCACATTATTGAGTATCCACACAAAGTAAAAACAGACTGGAAACACATCTGGTTTTAAATACATCCAGCCCAGCTCACTCCTGTGGGGAACAGAAAAGTAGAAAATGTTATTTGGACAGAGTACGATATAATATCATCCTTGTTTCAGCAGCTTGTAACCATGCACAGTAGGGGTATATCCCGCATGGTCAATCATGTTTATTCTTGGACAAAATTATACCAATATTTATTAACTTCTACATTTCTGAAAATGGATTTTGCCTTCATTGTTACACTGACCCAAATACTTTCTGAGTCACTGAGATGTACAATATGCAGATCAGGAAAGCCTGCATACAGGACATGAGTTTAGACTTTTCAGACTTCACTGCCTACATGCATACTCATCTCTGACACACTACACTGAAAAAGCAGGATTAGGATGACTCATTCCGTTAAATGGCAGGTCACATTTTTATCATTACAAATTCAGTTTAAGGTTTGCAGAAAGTGTTGCAATCTGATTGTGTAATCTGCATAATCATTTTTAGATTTGCTAACAAAGGACTATCTAAACAGTGAAATCAATTTTTAGCTAATCAGGAAAGCACACTGCAGTTATTGGTAAATCTTGAACAAGCTATGTGTCTTATTATCTCATTGTACAGTGTTCTTTAGGTAATGCTATCTGATCAACCAGATCATATAGAAAGTAAAGGAATTGTTAAATAGGTATTAAACCCAAAAACAAAAATGTAATATATTGCAGTTTAAAAATCTTTAGATGTGGTAGTTGCATTTGTTTTCCTTTCCCCCAGATGTTTTTTTCCTCTATTTCACCCGGTGATTTGGCCAGTAACCTACCTCCTGTTTTAGGGTGTCTCCATTCTAGATGGAGGAGCAATGGGGACACCTTTGGACAGCAGCATTGTTAATCTTAGGGGAGGGTAGTGTTAGATGTAATAGCAGATTTAGGACTGAACTAACAAATTAGAGCTGAACTTCATCTAACACTTTTTGAGCAATTACAGCAAACATTTGTTTTCCTTTTCAGATGAAGATTTTACCTAAATGTATAAAAGCTGACCAATGTAAGCACTCCTGTCAGTGGTAAATGATTCGTCTCAATCTTCTAACTACCACTTTTGCTGGACAGTTTGGACTTGGAAAAGAAGGTGGAAAATAACACACTTACTGGCAGGATCAATATATGCAAACATAGGCTTTGAAATCGTGCGACTCACAGTGAAGTCGCACGATTTCAAAGTCGGGTGAACTGATTTCAGGTGCGATTTGCAAGACATCTGACACAGATGTTTTTGCAAATCGCACCAAAAGTAGTAGATTTACAACTTTGGAAATTGGTGCGGTTCCGACCAAGTCGGGGCCGCACCGATATGAACACTCTAATTGTGGACAATAGGGTGCGACTTGGCATGTGATTTGCAAGTCGCATGACATGCAAATCGCATAGCAATTCGCATCCAGTGTGACCGGGGTGTTACCGAAGATTGCACAAACTGACACTATGGGGTTGATTTACTAAAACTGGAGAGTGCAAAAGCCGGTGCAGTTGTGCATGGTAGCCAATCAGCTTCCTTCTTCAACTTGTTCAATTAGGTTTGACAAAAAATCCTGGAAGATGATTGGGTGGAGACTGAGAGATTAGATCCTTATCAGGTCTGCCTTATTTTTTAGCTTTTGGCATTGGTGGATTCAAAAGTCGTTACTGGACGGAATAGCTGCTATGGATATGCCAACTGACATCCAATGTCAGTCAACAGTAAGGTGGACCTGATGGGGAACTATTAGTGAATAGGTAAGCGCTTTGCAATAAATTGTTATAAATTCAAAATGGGACAAGCGATCCCATCATTTCCATGTGCTTAAATAATGTATTGACCTGTAATGAGTGTTGATCAAGAAACTCCGTATATATAATATATATGATAGCAAATATTATTCCTATATAGAACATAATAATATAAAAAACAAAAGTATAGGTAGCATAGGAGTAATATAAATCATAAAAGTTCAGGAAAACCTACTACAAGGTACCCATGCTTTCTGAAAGAGTCCATTGGCAATCCTTTTTCCTTGGGGCATTACCTGCGGAGCCTTGGTGACTGGGAGGACTAACCTGGGATAATTAGAGGCGGATGTTCCAGCTTATACCACCAAAACGCGCTATTTGACCACCTTAACCGAGGTCATATAGGTCTGGCAAGTGAGACATTCACTTATTTTCACCGGGGTGTGGATACATGGATTTCTGTCATCAACATTATGTCCCAAAGGACTGTTATGATCCTTGATTGATATCCCGATCAATTTGTGTTAGGCACGTGGTGAAGGAACATGGACTATTATGATTTATATTTTGCCTATGATACCTATACAGTACTTTTGTTTTTTTTATATTATTATGTTCTATATAGGAATAATATTTGTTATTATATATTATATATACGGATTTTATTGATCAACACTAGTTACAGTTCAATACATTATTTAAGCACATGGAAATGATGGGATCGCCTGTCCCATTTTGAATTTATAACACTGCACTGCGCATACCTATTCACTAATATCTCACGTTTAAGTGTACAATTTCACTTTTTAGGGGCAGCTGTTCATTCACATTGGTGTTAATGAGTGGCTATACCACTATTCATTTCAACACTACTTATTAGGTGCCACAATAATTTAATTTGAATTTCTGATGTGGAATTGGTCTTTCAGTTCCCCATCAGGCTCCAACCATCCCTACTACAAAAGTCCTCTGCCATGTGTGTATCTGTGTGCCAGGCGCAGTGGCCAGAGAGGAAGCACACTGCAGAAGGAGACACCAACCTCAGGTTTCAACAGATGAATGTACTTGTCTCTGACAGGTACAGTACATGATTCGGGTGCAAGCAACGATTTTGGTGAAGTGGCCCAACAGAATTTTAATAGGTGTCTGCAACACCCTTTATGGATTCCCCCAGAGTCTTTTCTGCCATAATAAAAATTTACCTGCTGGCAATTTATTTTTTTAATTCTTTATTTATCAGTTTTTCATTTCATACAGGGATTATCGGGGCTCACAGGCACCCATCACAACAAGTAGCTTGGGTCAGGAGGAAGATACATGTATCAAAATAAATGTACCACAGATAGATCAGCCAGGAAAAGGGCCAACGAGGCATTGACCGTTTAGCTCCCTTTGCCCAAAGGCTCCAGACTTATTTAAATCCCTTACAACATTAACTTTTAATACAGACAGAAACTGCTGGCAATTTTTCTGCAAAAGAGTTTGGTTCCATTTAACCATTGGATAAGGTAAGCAAGTGCATCACTGCTAGAATTCTGCAAATGCCAAGTCACCACAATTCTTACACTTACCGTCTACAGATCCCAGCCACAACATATCCAAGCCAAAGAAACTGCCAAGCAAATATTACATTCCAGATCATAAATGTCCATCCTGATGGTGTAAATTCAGTAATGTATTTATTTGAGATATTTCCTACAGTCTGCAAAAATATTCCTGTAATGGGAAAAGGAGTAATTGTAGATAAAAATTGTCCAGAAGAAGGATCCATTTAAGATGATCATTTCACTACAGTGTCAATACTGAAAGAAAAATGACCTGTAAAAGAGATTCTATACTTACCTTTCTCTTGTACATTATGGTTCCTCCTGCCGGCTCCTGAGCACCATCTCATTTCCCCCTCCTCCCTTCCCAGCTCACGTTTTTTTGAAAATGATCCTTTCTCCTGAGGTTTATGTGTCTGTGAAACTCTACCATGTAGTACAGTAATTACGGTGTATTTTGTGGGTACAAAAGACAGCTCCCTCTGTGCAGTGTGTACAACAATTAGGCTCAGGTTCTATTTATTGTGTCTTTTTAGCTATGGTCAATGTTCAGCGCAATATGGCCATGTCCACTAATATGCCCTGGTGAAGATACATATACTCATATAGCCCCTTCACCATTCATCACAAAATACACAAGGGGGCATTATTTAATTAAAATTCAATGTAGGGCAATGATAAACAGGAGCAGTGAGAAAGATTATGAAACAAATCAGATCTTTATTTACATATTCCTCCCTCTGCTGCTCTGAAACAGCATTTCAGTGAAAATCACTTCCATCTACAGTGGTGAAGCCATCGCAAAACTCTCATTTTGATTGGTAGGGTTGCAAATGGAGAAAAAACATATCCCCCACAAATACTTTGCTAATTAAGATAAAATAAATCCTGATTTGCAAAAGGTGTGCATATTAAAGGTGTTGTCAAGTTGGTTGACAAATGTTCCTCTTTGTGTAAGATAGCCCATACTTTCATTATTATATATTTTATTGGTTCAACCAGCAGGCTGAATTAAAAAAACAATCCAATTCCCACATCCACCTCAAACGTGAAAACTTCCACTGTTCAAGTGTGTTCTGACGGCAGGGAGCTTTCCCTGCTATCAGAGTACAATGATCAGTGCTGCCAGCTATAGCCAGTGGCACTGATCAGTTTGGAAAAACCTGATAGCCTGGTTGTACAGAAGTCAATTGGTAAATCAACTTCTGTACAACCAGAGTGCCAAGGCAGTGCAGCTTCCACATACAGTCAGGTCCATAAATATTGGGACATCAACACAATTCTAACATTTTTGGCTCTATACACCACCACAATGGATTTGAAATGAAACGAACAAGATGTGCTTTAACTGCAGACTGTCAGCTTTAATTTGAGGGTATTTACATCCAAATCAGGTGAACGGTGTAGAAATTACAACAGTTTGCATATGTGCCTCCCACTTGTTAAGGGACCAAAAGTAATGGGACAATTGGCTTCTCAGCTGTTCCATGGCCAGGTGCGTGTTGTTCCCTCATTATCCCAATTACAATGAGAAGATAAAAGGTCCAGAGTTCATTTCAAGTGTGCTATTTGCATTTGGAATCTGTTGCTGTAAACTCTCAAGATGAGATCCAAAGAGCTGTCACTATCAGTGAAGCAAGCCATCAATAGGCTGAAAAAACAAAACAAACCCATCAGAGAGATAACAAAAACATTAGGCGTGGCCAAAACAACTGTTTGGAACATTCTTAAAAAGAAGGAATGCACCGGTGAGCTCAGCAACACCAAAAGACCCGGAAGACCACGGAAAACAACTGTGGTGGATGACCGAAGAATTCTTTCCCTGGTGAAGAAAACACCCTTCACAACAGTTGGCCAGATCAAGAACACTCTCCAGGAGGTAGGTGTTTGTGTGTCAAAGTCAACAATCAAGAAAAGACTTCACCAGAGTGAATACAGAGGGTTCACCACAAGATGTAAACCATTGGTGAGCCTCAAAAACAAGAAGGCCAGATTAGAGTTTGCCAAACGACATCTAAAAAAGCCTTCACAGTTCTGGAACAACATCCTATGGACAGATGAGACCAAGATCAACTTGTACCAGAGTGATGGGAAGAGAAGAGTATGGAGAAGGAAAGGAACTGCTCATGATCCTAAGCATACCACCTCATCAGTGAAGCATGGTGGTGGCAGTGTCATGGCATGGGCATGTATGGCTGCCAATGGAACTGGTTCTCTTGTATTTATTGATGATGTGACTGCTGACAAAAGCAGCAGGATGAATTCTGAAGTGTTTCGGGCAATATTATCTGCTCATATTCAGCCAAATGCTTCAGAACTCATTGGACGCCGCTTCACAGTGCAGATGGACAATGAACCAAAGCATACTGCAAAAGCAACCAAAGAGTTTTTTAAGGGAAAGAAGTGGAATGTTATGCAATGGCCAAGTCAATCACCTGACCTGAATCCGATTGAGCATGCATTTCACTTGCTGAAGACAAAACTGAAGGGAAAATGCCCCAAGAACAAGCAGGAACTGAAGACAGTTGCAGTAGGGGCCTGGCAGAGCATCACCAGGGATGAAACCCAGCGTCTGGTGATGTCTATGCATTCCAGACTTCAGGCTGTAATTGACTGCAAAGGATTTGCAACCAAGTATTAAAAAGTGAAAGTTTGATTTATGATTATTATTCTGTCCCATTACTTTTGGTCCCTTAATAAGTGGGAGGCACATATGCAAACTGTTGTAATTCCTACACCGTTCACCTTATTTAGATGTAAATACCCTCAAATTAAAGCTGACAGTCTGCAGTTAAAGCACATCTTGTTCGTTTAATTTCAAATCCATTGCGGTGGTGTATAGAGCCAAAAATGTTAGAATTGTGTCGATGTCCCAATATTTATGGACCTGACTGTATATTTACAAATGTTGTGCAACTAAAATGCCTGTTTTTTTAATGCAAATTTTTAGACAGTATAATTAGCAGAAATCTAAATGTATACTGTATGGCTAGCCTTAGATCTTTTGCTGGGTTTTTTTATTTCCTGTCTGTGTTCCTGCTGGGGAGTTATCTTTCATTCCCCAACCTAGAGACAACATTGCTAGAGGGATGGAAAATGAGATGAAATCTCAATTGGGACACCTTAATAAAAATATGAACAAAGTTCGCACCAAAAAAAGATTATGTTGGAATTACACTCTACAACACAGATCATATAGAGCCAGAACAAAGGTTTAAGGCTACGTTCACACTAGCCTTGTTTGCAAGTGGCAGACAGGCGTTTGGGAAGCGTTTTTTACCATTTCCCAAACGCCTGTGAAAATTCTGCATATTGCAGCACATGGTGCTATTCACACGGGAGCGTTAGCGTTGCGTCACGGCAAAACAAACACCTCTGGTCGAGTCAGGAGGAGTTGAAGTCTATGGTGGAGTTGCGACACGGTTGTGGGGCATTTGCGGAACATTAACACCATTCAAATGTCATTATAGGCGTTTGTGGGCGTTTTTAACGCTTGGCAAACGCCTAGCAACCACCGCTAAACCACGCATGCGGCATTTGCGCAGCGTTAAAAACCGCTCCGCAAACGCCGGACCAATGCTTGTCAAACGCTATAGGGGCGTTTGGCAAGAGTTGGAAAAACAGTCAAGTGTGAACGAGCCCTAAGTGTGACTCCGGAATTTAAGAGAAATAAGTGTTTTCATAACAAAATGATAATGTGTGGAGAGAAGGATTTTCCTGAGCACCAATAGCTCTCAGGGTTTAGCTGAGAACACTGCAGCACAATACAAATCTTCTGCAGCAAGCCCCAGGAATGTACTCCAAGCACTTGCTTTTTTGGACAAATGTGTGCATCGCCAAAGTGTCCCATGGGGCTCATGTGGACATACAGGTTTAGAATTGCTACACCAAGCTCAGGGCTGGATCTACCAGTTACACTTTTTTGCCCATTATCAATACAAATAAAGAAATTTTATATTATTATATTTACACAATGACAAAATTCTAAGATAAGCCATACATTAATCGCTTTTTTCATTCAACCAGCTGGTTAAATGGAAAAAAAAAAAAAATGATTACCCCATCCACGTATTCAATTTAGATGGGGGAATTCACTCCCGCTGGGAATAACCCAACAGGCTGGTTGTACAGAAGCCGAGTAGTAGATTTGCTGATCCATGTATGGCTGCCATGAGCTAAAATAAGTGATCCTAGCAAAGGTAGGCCCTCTGGGTACCAAAAGTTGTATGGATACAGAATCCAGCAATGGAACTCTTGTCCTGACTTGACTTTTGCTATCTTTATCTCACAAGATGTGGATCAGTGGCAAATCAAAAGAGAGAGTTGAAACCTTTTTTTTTGCCTGCTTTATGTTTACCAGCGAGGACCACCATGGACCACTTTGAGCATACTATAGGAATCTGCCTATCTACAATATTGGATGCCAAGGTTCAGCAATACAGAGAAGCCATGGCAGGTATGTGCTGCTGCAATTAATTGCCAGCAATCTGTGAGATATTTGCTTTGCATGTACGGTACACTGATCATCTGTTACAATTCCATCTTTTGCATATATATATATATATATATATATATATATATATGCCTCCTGGACAAAGCCAGTCATACTGTCCTTTTATACCTATCTACTTTAACACCCTCCCTCACAGTCACACAGCGCAGGGACAAGGTCATCCAATGCCAATGCAAACTACAACCCCCTTCACCCCCATATGTAATGTATGTGGTCTGTGCTGAAATAGTACAAAAAGTTGCGCTGAACTGCAGAGTTTAAAACGGGTGCAAAAACATGTGGCTAAGAAAAAAATATGCCTGCATCAGTGGTGTCACTGAAAGGAAGAAATGTCCCTATGTTAGTGGTGTCAGTGGAAGGAAATCTATCCCTGGTGTTGTCACTGGATGAAAATATGTCCCTACATCAGGAAAAATGATGCTACTTCTGTGTAGCCCACCCTGTATAGCACTGGCAGGAAAAGAGTTTTGTGTGTGAGAAGCAGAGGAGATAATACACAAACACAGCTGGAAAGGCTGCTAGTACAGGACTGTGAACAGCCAGTGTTAAACCTGCCCTCTGCCCAGTAGGAATACACCAGGATATGGACTGCTAGGATTGAGGGAGGAGTAGTGTGCTACAGACTGATCTGGCTAAATGGAGTAAACTACATATCACATAGGGCACTGGGGACAAAGGGGAGAAGTGCTTCCCTGCTGATTTTCCTGAGGATACATGTAGAAATTGTTCTGGGAAGCTGCTAACCCCGGAGAGAGTGAGAGACTTTCTGGGATATTGGAGAGAGCCATGTAGGTTGTGGAGCCCACTGTCTAATTGAGGGGAAGGATACTGACCAGCTTTGCTTCACACAGTAAAAAAAGGTCAGATCACCTGATGGCACAAGAGTTGGTAAGAGGCCGCCGACCAAATTCACACTACGTCTTGATAAAAGAGGGACAGGGTTGCCCGCGAGAAATACAGTGGCAGCACCTGCATCCATTCTGAAAAGGGACACTATCCTAATAGCTCTACCATAACAGTTGGGACCCAACAAACTGGTCAGTAGAAGAAACAGAATAGCACATATTGACTGCTAAACTGTTGTAGTGGTACAATTTTCCCTAGTTTGGATTGCCCTGGTATAGGGTTTAGCAGGGTTGTGCTTCATATCAATTATTGTTTCTGCAGTACATTCCTTCTACTGTTTATCCAATTAGCAGTATAATTCTTCTACTGTTTACCTTATTGCAGTACCTTTCTTGCTATTGCTTAACTATTTGTTGTGTCATTACTGGTGTCTATATACACATTAAGCCATTAGGGTATACTGTATATACCCATATCTACAATAAATATTCCCCACCCAGCCAGGTATGTCAGTGTGTGGTGCTATTTTCAGTTTTGGGAACAGGAACTGGGGACCCAATACATCTTGGGTGAAAGAGCTACATCAGTGGCAGCGGGGTGAAATGTCCCTGCTTCAGTGACGTCAGTCTGGGGGGGGATGCTTTGACATCTGTGTCAGTGGCATGAAGGAGTGGAGCCAGGAGGTGTGGTGCATAGACCCTAACAGATATGGGGAGCTCAAGGGGTGGAAGGGCTCTAAGGGAGGGGGGAAGTTAAGAGGCATTTTGGGGGAAGAGAGGGAAACTCTAGGGCTGAGTTTTCATCCCCACCCTCTGTGTACTCCTAGTTCTCACCTCCTTCTCAGTGTAGCGCCCACCGGGAATGAAGGCAACTTCTTTTTTTTCCTCATCTCTGAAATGTCACATGACAAGGGAACACAAAATAAAGAGCAGTATGCCCTTACTTCCCAGTGGCACCACGCTGAGACAGAAATGATTTCTTAGCAATTGCTATTAGAGGGAGGAAAGAGAAGGTTGAGGAGAGCAGAAATTTCCCTTCAGCAGCAATGAAGACCCCTGCTCCTTCTGGCAGGAGTGACACTGCAGTCACTGCTGAGAGAGAGTCGATGGAGTTCCCAGTGTGGCCCACCATCAACATTATAACACTGCACCTGAGGCATGTACTTCTTCTGCCTCATTCCCCACCTTGTCTTGGCCCTGCCTATAGCAATATACAAGCTGCCAGGTAGAACCACAACATATTCTACAAACTTGAAAGTGTGGAATATATGCAGGCACTGAGGAGGAGCATCGTAGAGGGGTTCTTTTTGTTACAGGCGACATTTCTTTTTGTTTTGACCCTGTGGTGACAGGGTTCCTTTAAAGAAAAGAAAGTATTTTTAGTGAGCACTTATTTAAATTATTGCTAAAATTTGTAACTTGTCTTAAAAGAGAAACTGGCAGGTTGTCATACTGGTCTTCTTAGCCTACGTTTAGACTTGTATCTAAACTGCCTCTCCTCTGAAAAGTGGTCCTTATTCGGATCACTTCTCAGAGGCGTTTGACAGGTAGAGAGGAGACAATGTGAGGCCTCCTTACCACCTGTTTTTATTTTATTTTTTATTTTATTTTATTTTGCAATTGCTGCATCAAGGTGCCTCAGCCGCATGAACCCAAGAATGTTTGTGGTGCTTCCCTGTTTGCTTGAGTGGGTCACATTCGGCAGGCTTGCTATCTGCCAAATGCCACAGGGCAATAATTTTTGCAGCAGGTGCTAAGCAAAACATCATGGTAGTGGCGTGTAAACACCCCAGCTCACAGCCTTTGCAGCTTAAGGGAGGTGGTTGGGAAGCACTAAAACATTTTTTAAAGCCCCCTGAAATGAAAGTCTAAATGAGCCCTTGCACTCATTCTTTCTGAATTACTGGTTCAGAACAAGCATCCTGGCTTTTCTCTGAGATTCCAGATCTGCATATGTTTTGATCAAAAGTTGAGGTGTACACTAACCATTTTAGCTTAGGATTTCTTAAATATCATACATATTTTACCTTTGATTAGACCAGAGCCTGCTCCGGCATTGAATGCTATCATGACAATGTAGACAGCCACAGTGAGGAAAATCAGGATTATTTTGAAAGTGTTGTGTTCATACATTGTTAGACCTGGCAAAAAAATAGAGAATCATTAGACATTAGCAATCCAGTCTTGCCCAAACCCAACTTATATTTTATTTTATATATATACAGTGGGGATCGAAAGTTTGGGCACCCCAGCTAAAAAATTTGTATTATTGTGCATAAAGAAGCCAAGGAAAGATGGAAAAATCTCCAAAAGGCATTAAATTACAGATTAGACATTCTTATAATATGTCAACAAAAGTTAGATTTTATTTCCATCATTTACACTTTCAAAATAACAGAAAACAAAAAAATGGCGTCTGCAAAAGTTTGGGCACCCTGCAGAGTTAATATCTTGTACTGCCCCCTTTGGCAAGTATCACAGCTTGTAAACACTTTTTGTAGCCAGCCAAGAGTCTTTCAATTCTTGTTTGAGGTATCTTTGCCCATTCTTCCTTACAAAAGTCTTCCAGTTCTTTGAGATTTCTGGGCTGTCTGTCACACACTGCTCTTTTAAGGTCTATCCATAGATTTTCAATTATGTTGAGGTCAGGAGATTGTGAAGGCCATGGCAAAACCTTCAGTTTACGCCTCTTGATGTAATCCCCCGTGGATTTCGAGGTGTGTTTAGGATCATTATCCATTTGTAGAAGCCATCCTCTCTTTAACTTTAGCTTTTTCACAGATGGCATCAAGTTACCATCCAAAATTTGCTGAAATTTTATTGAATCCATTTTTCCTTCTACTCGTGAGATGTTCCCTGTGCCACTGGCTGCAACACAACCCCAAAGCATGATTGATCCAACCCCATGCTTAACAGTTGGACAGAGGTTCTTTTCATTGAATTCTGTGCCCCTTTTTCTCCAAACGTACCTTTGCTCATTCCGGCCAAAAAGTTAAATTTTAACCTCATCGGTCCACAGAACTTGTTTTCCAAAATGCATCAGGCTTGTCTATATGTTCATTTGCAAAGTTCAAACGATGATTTTTGTGGTGAGGACGTAGAAGAGGTTTTCTTCTGATGACTCTTCCATGAAGACCATATTTGTACAAGTATCTCTTTATAGTGGAATAGTGGACCACAACTCCAGTGTCTGCAAGATCTTTCTGGAGGGATCGTGCAGTCAAACGTGGGTTTTGAATTGTTTTTCTCACAATCCTGCGAGCTGTTCTGTCTGATATTTTTCTTGGTCTTCCAGATCTTGCTTTAACTTCCACTGTTCCGGATGACTGCCATTTCTTAATTACATTCCGAACAGAGGATATTGACATCTGAAAACGCTTTGCTATCTTCTTATAGCCTTCTCCAGCTTTGTGAGCGTCAACTATTTTCAGTTTCAGTTTTCTAGACAACTGCTTAGAAGAACCCATGGTGCTGATTGTTGGGGCAAGGTCAGATGAGTCTGGGCATTTAAAACCTTTGAGATTGACATAACCTGGTCTTCCCAGACGATGATTGAGAACAATCCATGACACTGGCAGGTCTCAGCTTGGCAAAGGGGGCAGTGCATGCTATAAATTCTGCAGGGTGCCCAAACTTTTGCAGACGCCATTTTTTTGTTTTCTGTTATTTTGAAAGTGTAAATGATGGAAATAAAATCTAACTTTTGTTGACATATTATAAGAATGTCTAATCTGTAATTTGATGCCTTTTGGAGATTTTTCCATCTTTCCTTTGCTTCTTTATGCACATTAATACAAATTTTTAGCTGGGGTGCCCAAACTTTCGATCCCCACTGTATATATATATATATATATATATATATATATATATATATCTGTGTAACGCCCTTCTATAATGTCAGTTGCAGGATGTTAAAATAAACACAAGATGGCAGTGTTCTGCAATTCAGTGGCACTCTCTCTCAGTTGAGCAGCCCCATGGACCTTGTCTGCTAAACCACAGGACTTTGCAGGGGAGCAGTGAACCAGAGGACTACATTTCCCAGAGGAGCTGGCATGTGAGTGATAGAAGATATATACAGAAGCCTGGGAGACTGGACAGAAAGTGAGAGGGGAGATAGCCGGAGAGCAGGAGTAGAGCAAGAGTTGTGTTTGTATAACCGGACCAGGTAGCAGAGCTAGAGACAAGAAAGGCAAGGAGGATTTGCTGACAGCTAGCCTTGCCGCCCCGTTCAACAAGACATTCTGCCAGGGGGTGACCTGAAGCACTGAGACCAGATGGAACGCTGCAAGTGTGACCAGAAAAACCTGTGGAGACCCAAACCCGCAGAGAGAGAAAGACTGCCAGGATCTGCTGGACATCACCAATCAGATGAGAGTCCCATACACCAACCAAACAAGTGAACACTGACATTCTCCTTACATATGCTACTTTTCCTGCACACAGTTGCAGACATTGCACATAGTTAACACGTGTTGCAGCCTAGTTCCCTCAGCCGCTACTGTTGAACACATTAGTAGCACAGTCCAATCATCAGAGCTGTCTGCAGTGCATGCCTTCTGTATGCCACACCACACCAGTGTTCTCTTAATCATCAGCCTACCCTTTTAAAAGAACCTAGTCTACCAATGCCATTAGTCCTTGCAGTCCAGAGGGGAGTTGCCCTTTGCCAACAAGCACTTCTGCCAGCTTTTGACACCTTACTTGCTTAAAATCTGCCATTTGCTCAGTGCATTAAAGGAACACCACCCAAGTCAAGTGCCACTTTAAGGGGAAGTACTTGCCCTTCCTTATTTTCCCTAGTATTAATCCATTGAGGAACTGTCACCTTCATCTCTTCCTACTTGTGCCCCAACTGGGCCCCAACGACCATGCAGAACATTCCTCACTGCACTTGAAGGGATATTGACTACCCTGGGTAAAGAGCTCTTTCCTATCTCAGACTTAAACCTTGCCATCAGATTCTGAGTGCCCAGAGTAAGCTAGTTCAGCTGTTGATAGTTTTCATTGCACACTTTTCCATAAAAAAAACTGAAATCAGTTTGCATGAATAATGTTGTTTCAGTCTGTACCTTCAGATGTCATACATTGTTGTGAAAGATTATAAGAATAGCAGGCAAAGGACAAAAGTCACCGGTATTGTCTGTGGTCTCCTAGAACCTGATGGTTTACTCATTATTGACTTAACCATGCCTTGTTTTGTATCGTGTCTATATGTGGGAGCAGCACTTTGCTTCCTCTCCAGAAAGGAGACCCATGAGCAGCACAGTAGTGACATCACCAAGTCTCACACCTCCATCTCCTGAGACTAGCATGTAGGGGCAGCAGTGCCTTAGATCAAACACTGCAGATATACAACTATAAAACTGAAGGCACATCCTCACATGCCAGAATGTGTGCTGCTATTATTCAGGAGGAATCCAAGACAGTACTTCTTTTGGGTGCTTCTTTGCTCTTTTGAAAAGCTACGCTGGCTGGAAAATCTTCTGCATAAAGCACATTTCCAGGTGTGTCAAATGATTGTCCCCCACAATGGCACTGTACTTCCCCTATATCACTGCTTTCTCCTGTAATGACACAGCATTCAATGACAGGAACCACAGCTTGCAGAGGGGGACTAGGCATCTGACACTCCCGGAAGTGATGGAAGTAATAGATTCTTCAGCCACTGTAGACCTGCAACAGAGTGAAGATTAGTGGCTTAGGTGACTGGACAGGTAAGTAATAAAGTATAACTAAAAGCAAAACTTTGTGGAGATGGATTAGAACACCTGTCAGGTTTATTGATGTCTGTGACCCAATTAGGGAAATTCATCCTCTCTATTTGTCCTGTTTACCATTATCATTGAAAGTGAAAGTACAAGAAAATCCCACATTATCGGTTGTCCCCCAAAAAAGTAAAAGAGGGGGGATCTTCCAAAGGCAGGCACTAGTTCTGGTGACATGGGGGGGGGGGGTTCCCTTCATTTGCTGGAACTTTCTAGTTTTGACTATGGGCCAGGAAGTGAACATAAATCTTCCCAGTGTGATACAAATGGAAAAAAAGTATGACAGGTATTATAACCCTCCCTCTATCTACACTGAATAAAAAAGTTTTGCCTACAGTTCTACTTGAACTCTTTTCTTTACAGACAGCCATTATTTTGAAAATTGTCATCTAGCACAAGCACTTTACACTACTCAATGTTAGGGAGAAAGTGGATAAAAAGATATCCTGAGATGAGCCAGATAATTAGATTTCACTTTGATTTCAAAATTTTTTTAATTGCTCATTAAAATGATGGCCCAGGTGTTTTTAATATTTGCAATCTTTACATTTTCTGTGGGTTTCTAAATAACTATTTTTTTGAAGTCCATTAGTTTCAAGGTAAACCAGTATTTTTAAAGTGTCACTAAACCTGCATCATATAAAAAACATCAATAAATGCTGTATTACATGCTGTTCATACTCACTTATTCACTATGGGGTTCATTGTAGCTGGGGATTTTGCAGAGCGGTGTTGGCAGCTACTGCACATTCTCAGTTTTTAGTGAGATTTCCTCTCTATCACATATGAGCAGCCCATCTGACTATAAAGTCACACATGTGGGCATACACACAGTGGAAAATTACAGCCCACTCCCTCTCTCCTCCTCCAAGCCCATTAAACAGCTAAACAAATTAGGGGTGGGATATTACATCTTGATTGATGGAGGCTTCACCTCCCTGTTATTCTAAGGCACAGGCTTGAGGGGCGTGACAGCCTGTGACTGGCAGAAATTCACCCACACCATGTTATTGCCAAAAAATAATAAATATTTGATTTCATATATATATTTGTATGACAATATAATACAGTTTATTGATATAATTTTTTAGTGTCCCAAAGGCAGTTTTTTTTTAAGTTTGAACATGTGACCAGCAGCAGAGGACTTAAAGCTCCTCCTGCTTTTGTTTCCCTGCAGACAGGATAGGAGAGAGCTGGATCACATGACAGATGTATATTGAATAAGAAAAAGGTACTTAGATTGTGTTTTTATAATAATTACAGTGCCATAATCCATTCACAGAAAGAAAGGCATAATGTAAATTAAAAGTGTGTGTTTAGTATGACATAAGCCAATCCAGGAGTTATGATTTAGTAGGTAATTTA